GGATGGCAGCAGTTCTTGCGACGGGTAAGAGAACAAAACTCTGGGCGGTAGCGAAGCGCTCCCGGCAACGTACCTGTTGGATGCAATATGAATCTTGTGCAGATCTTTCCTGCACTTCTCGCAAAAGTATTCGTCGGGAGAGCTCTCCTCGGTGAAGATGCCGACACAAGCGCCGTGCTGCCACACTTTGCAAATGTCGCACTGAACGAAGAGGCCGGAGACCTCGTCAGACAACTCAATGCTGGCGAAGAAATCGGCCTCTGGGTTTTCTTTCCCGGTCTTGACATCGTCGTCAAAGGGCGGAGGGCCTGGGTATTCGTCAAAGCCGCAGATGCAGCGGACTGACTCGTCATCCTCTTGGATGTCGTCGCCGTCGTTGGCCATTTCGTACGGGTCTACTTGAATTTTGTCGCGGATCTCTTCTTGTGCTCGTGTTCGTCGGCGGGGGAGGATAGAATCTTCTGGTTCATCGAGGGGTTCGGAAGAAAGCGAGGCGCTCGTCGGAGTGGACTTGTTGGAGGACGTCTTGATGAGCGATCTCGTATTCCTCTCCGCTCGGCTCGAGAGGCTCGAGGCAGAGGAGGACTGAGTCGATTGTGTGAGGGTGTTGCCCCGGGCTCGTGAAGATCTTCGGGGGGAGGGAGGTGCCATTGAGGCAAATTGCAAGAAAACACAACAGGCGAGGGTTCGAGGGGAAGGAAAATCAGGAACAGGTAGTAGGACGCAGGGCGAACAGGGACGTAATGGTAGGTAGGTAGGTAGTGGGGAAGGGCGGGCAGAGAAGGCGAGACTTCTTCGAGGCAGTTCCGCCCTTGGATTTCGGGCAAATGAGATTGTGGAATCTCGGGGCGACGCAATGGCTGTTGAGGTGCGGGACGCAGAGATGGGTAGGGGTCGGTCGAGGTTCGTGGGGTGGTGGTCGCAAGAGGAGCAGAGGAAGAGCAGGAAGAAATGCTGTGGGATCAAGCTATGAGACAGAGACGAGGTGGGTGCTCCAACAAGGTGTAAGAGGGGATTGGGGCGT